CCACGGTCTCCTCTATTGTTATTGTTGTATTGTTGTAATTATAATTGTGTCCTATCTTGTGAAATCTTCTTATTTATTGTTGTAGTCTTCTTATTTATTGTTGTAGTCTTCTTATTTATTGTTATTGTCATCCTGTAAAGCGCTTTGAGAAGCCACCTTTAACGGCGCTATATAAAATAAAGTTGATTATTATTATTATTATTATTATTTTGGTCCCTGTTTCTTCAGGGGCATGAATAAATCAAATGGACGCTATAAGTAAGGTGTTAAGGTTTTCTTTGACAGCAAACATTCTCCTTTCGCTCCTACTTGTTAAACTGTATACTGTACCTGTGTGTAAATAAGGTCCCAATGAGAGTGTGCAGTGTTGAATGTCAAAAGGAAAGTACAGGATGTCCAGGTTGCAGGAGCTTACAATTCTTAAAGGTTTGTCATGGGTGATTCTCCCGTTGTTCCTCACATACATGTATGGAATCTGTGGAGACAAGTCTTCCTCAACACTGCAGAAAAAAGAAAGTTAAGAAATCTAAGTATACTTTGAACACAGTAACCAATGAAATGACAATTCCTTTGGCAAAGAGGGCACTAGAAAATGTGATATTAGTCTCAAAAGCCAGTTTATTGGAAATAGATTCATACAAAGCAGTGTTTTTGTTATTGCTATAATTTTTGTTGGAGTATCCACAACTTTCTCTGCAATCTACAATGTCACACTGCCCATCTGTTTTCACAATGTGGGCCATACAGTGTGAGTAGTAGCAAGTTTTAAAGAGAACTCATGCAGCTCTTACCAATGACATTACAAGCTCCAGGTGTTCAGTGTGCATTATGAATCACAGTGAGCATGTGTTGGAAAGGAAAGATTACTGTAACATTAATAACTGGGGAGCGTCGTACAATACAACTATACATTGCTGAATAGAAACAAAAAAATTGCATTAGTAGTAGTGGAATGTCTGAAAGGTTAAGACATTATCATATAAAAGGAAAGAAGGGATGACAAAGAAAAACTTTCATTCAGAATTGTATTGAAGACCAATTTATTTGTTTGGTATCAGCCCACGACACACTATGCTTAACAGAAACATTCAAAGACTGCCTTTATAATTGGAGATACCAGAATTTTCTCATCTTAGATAATCATTTGTAAAATGTTGCAAGTTCAAACATGATAGTTGTCTCACAAGAGAATCTGACTTACAATTCATATACATAGAGGTCAGGTCGCCAGATGTTGTCTACTGGAATCGACACCTTGGACAGTCCATTAAAATCTGCTGGGTTCCAAACCAAGAATTCATTGTCCCAAAACTTAAACAAGAAGTAGAACATGGGGCATCTTTTTATTCATTTTGATTAGAAGAAAATAACAATGAAATATTGTGTTCATTGTTACAATCTCTCTTGTGCATAAATAGACACATACTGTATGAAACATAATATGTCAGGTTGTATTTAAAACAACTCAGGTTATATCCTACACAGCCCTGCAGTGAAGCAAAAAGTGATCAATGCCAGTTAGTTATAAGAAAATGCTTGGCTTATGATATTAATCTGTACTATGCGAAATGCTTGTACAGTATAATGATGATCGTAAAGGTTCTATCTCACCTGGAGAGACCTATTGAAACTGAATTTTTCCATTGGGTCTAAAGGATGTTCACCATATCACTGCACAGACAATGTGCTATGAAATCTACAGATACATGTGTAATCATTGATACTGCACCTACCGGAGCCATACGAAAAAGAAATACACTACAGATAAAAACTTATAAGTAAACCAAATCTATAACAAGAGAAGCATGTTCTTATTTCCAGCACTTGTCTCACATTGATTTTGAAGAAACTGACTTATAGCTTCTGCTTTTTTACATTTCTAATCAAAACAGTGCTTTGCAAATCTCTCCAGTAGCCAAGATATACAGCGAGCCAACTTTTGAAAAATCATGTAGTAAGTCTCCTTTAAGAAGCAGTGTTTTGAAGATTCACCTGTCTAAGCCACACATAGGTTTGAAGAATGTGCGTTTTCTCATCCTGTCAAAAGAAACAAAACACAATGTAACAACATAATATTGCACCTTCAAAGTGCATTGCAACTCGGCTCACTAACTTTTCAGCTGAATACTTTGCAAAGACAGACATGATTTCTATTAATAGGGGTGCTTGGAGTATCACCTATGTACCTGTTCTGATATTAATGTTTAGAATGGTATAGTGCTAAATAATATGTATTCAAAAGCTTAACAAAAAAGATAAGGCAAAGGCAGCAAAGTGTTTAGATTTGTTATAAAGTCAACTACTGTACATCAAACATGTTTTTTTATTTTGAATGTATAGTTTAAAATACACTTCTTAAGCTTATCTTAATGTTTAAATTGCGATTTATTCAAAATTAATTTGGATTTTATAAAGAACAGTGAAACTGATAACATACCACACCTATAATCTCATACAGGGTCAAGGTGATGTTAAGCTGCACAGGTGTCGTCCAGTTCCTCACAGGTTTCAAAAACTTGTTGTTGATTATGTCTTTGAAGGTCTGAAAAAAGCGAACATACTCGTAGTTGCTGAAGTTCACATCAGGGTCACTCTGCGTTTCTAAAACTTTAGGCAGAAAAAACAGACGATATTAGTTTAATATTTACAGCTGTAAGTTTTCTTAACATTCACTTTCTCTGAAAAAAGTGGTTGTTATCTGATGTGATTTGTTGGTTTGGCCTCTCCATGAGCCTTGTGGATAACAGAAAAACCCAAGAATCTAATATTTTAAGACATCTGAATGATTACGTACTAAACTTTGAAAACTAAAGAGATGGCTTCTGTGTCTGAGAGAAGGTCAATATCAGAAACATTAAACAAACTATAACGTGACACACATGTAGAGAACCTACCAGAATCCAAGTAGTATCCATCTCTGTTACAAAAATTCAAAGTTATAATGGTTTTAATGCAAATAATAATGATACATGCATGTATATATTAACTATTTTAAACATTAATTATACAAAAAGGCAATTCAACCTATTCACTTGTGCTGATTATCTATTACTCTATCTCATTATATCTTACCCTTAGACATAGACTTAAGAGATCCCAGCACCTGTCTTAACAGTCTGTTACTGAGATTTTTAATCTCAATCTGTCCTTCAATCAGATCTCAGTCTATCCGTCATATTTATAATGTTTTTCACTGCAACAAGGCTAAATTTGAAATAACTACTACTAGTTGACCCAATTTAATTCCTTAAAAATGCTGCAAACTTCAATCACATTTCATCAGCTGGTTTCTCCAATATTAAAATGAGCACATCGTTTACCGTAAAATGTATATATTTTAAGAAATACGTGTACATTAAAACTATTGAATATTTAATTTGAAAAAATGTTAAAATGAATCCTACCTTTAGAAATCATACACCATGATATTAAAATCAACGTTGGCCCTACCATTGTGAAGTACAAGGAGATTTATTGACCTACAGTAACTGAAGCAGATTTCCTTTGTTGTCTACCTTTATTAGTGTAAACCAAGAGAAAATACCCCCCTTTAAGTGTGGAATACTGAAGGACAGCTCATAAAGACATCTCCTGGGATGGAATCTAATTACAGTGTGAACAAACTGTGGTGGGTGAGGAAGACAGAGATGGGTGTCTGTTGAGTTATTAGGGTAGTTAGTGTTTAGAAAAGAATTGCATTTCATAATAAAGGTAAATAATTGGCTAACAGCCTTTGGTAAATGATGAATATACAAGTGTTTACAGAGTTAGTTACTATTATATGACTGCCTGTATGTTGATTCTGGGTGTATCTTAGATATTGAGCATGTCAAAACATGGCAATGTTATGTCATTTTTATTTTTAAAAAATGGTTTCAAATGAAGTGCAAAAAAGTACCAGGCTCTTTAGAGTTAATCTGTTGTTTTTCTCTGACCAAATACAGTAGATCCCATGAGGTTAGTTATGTTTTGTCCAGTTTCTCAAGAGGAACCTTGGTGTGTTAGTGATTCTTATTTTCTTCCCTAAGGCAGGCATACATTTTTAGACAAATCAGTGGCTGAAAAATATTCCCATTGCAAAACCTTAATTGGATTTTGTATTTTTCAATAATATAATTAACCATGAGGAGACTCATAAAGCCATTTTAATTCAAGTGCCAAGAAGAGGCAATGCATGTGTTTACGCTTAGGAAATGTGAAAGTGCTTACTAAAGAATAATATAAAGGCACAGGGAACAAAATTAGTTTTTTTCTCTGAGGACAAAAGGCAGAGCTCGACAAAACAAATGGTTTTCTTTCCACATATCGTCACATCTATTTAAGTAACAAAATTATGTTCTTTTACTTTTAATTTCATTCCTGTTGCCTTTTTATTAACTATATTCTCCATATCTAGGCTTTCTGGTCTTTTCATCCATTATTCCATTTTCAAAACATTTGATTCAATACTGGGTCATGAACACGGCTGGAGCTTAACCCAGCAAGCAACAGGAGAAAGGCAGGATATACCCTGGATGTGATACCAGTCCATCAGACATACACATCAGGCACACACAGAGATAGACATGCATACGCTCACACCAGAGCCAGTTTTCACAGAAGCCAATTACAGTAACATACCAGTACTTCATTAGACTGTGACCTGAAACCAGAACACCTGGTGAAAACACACAACAACTCCCAGACAGCAACTCCCACACAAACACTGGGAGAACATACAAACTCCATGCAGACAGCACTCCAAGAACTGAAATCAAGACCCAGAGCCGCAAGGCAGCAAAGTCAATCACTGTGCCACCAGGATTCCCAATTCTCATCTTGGTAATTCCAGGGTCTACTTGAGTCCTTTTTTGAATGGATGATTGTTTTTTTTTTATATAACTATTGTATCATTTAGCTTTATATATTTTTTAAATATAAAGTATATAATTTTGGCAGCTTAAAATGAATACAAACTATTATGTCAATTAATGATTTAATTAACAGTTAGCATATTGCTGACACACCTAACATATTAACAGGAACATATTGCTACATGATGTCATGGAGTTTAGGATTATAAATGTCATCTGTCACCCAGGGTTTTCAATAAACAGGTGTGGCAATCAGGAGCTACCATGATCTTAGAACATGTGGCTGCTGTGCCAGCTTCCGTTCTCTGCTTAATTATTTGATTGACTGGCATGTGAATATTCACACATGTTTTCTTCTCATCGGCTGCAGGTGCAGGTGCTGCCCAAGGGTCACTCTGTAGTCTTTAAGCCACCGCAATGAATGGCTTTGAATACAAAGCAACTGTTTTTAGAGAATCATTTTTGTTATGCAGTTCTGTGTAGACCTTTTGACTTTCAGTCTTTCTTCCTCACTCATTTTGGCTCTTTTGTATGTTAAAAGTGTAACACAATACCATTTTCACAGTCACAGCCTTCCACCTCATGTCCTTCCCCAGATCAACATAGACTCTAGACTGTCGGCATGAGATGTAGAGCTCAGAGTGGTAGGCACAAGTGCAATTAAATGCTTATATGCTACAGGCCACATGAGCCAAGAGAACTTTCTCCCTCTGGAGGAAAAAGAGGTGAAGTGTTTTAAGTTTTTTTTAATCACATCTCTTAAAATGCTGGCACAGTAATAATAACACCCCCCGTGGCAATGGGAACTGAAAACTTTCACTTTTTCTCTTTTTAAAGTGAAAGGAAATGCAAGGAAAAGATTTTTCCCATGACAGGAGCAAAAAGTTGTCAACCTTTTAGAGAATCAAAAAGCAATCATTATACAAATTCTGAAAATTTACATTGAGGAGCATTAGAAGAAAATGTATCCTGGTGAAAGTATGACAGCATTTTTCAACCACACTATTAAATTGATAATAACTGTTAATAAATCCTTTTTAAAATCAACTCATTATAAATCATGCCACCCTGAGACCCATTAAGCTGTGGCAGTTTACCCACTGGCTCCTCGTGATAAATAGACGATAATAAAAAAAAACAAGTTCACTGGACTTTTTACTGAGATGGTAAGATAAAATGTTTCTTCATGCAGATTTGCAGGTGTTGTTAATTCTCTTCCCATCTGTGTAGTATATGAAACACAGTGGGCTTAAAAGGGTGAGCTGTCCAGCATAACATCCTGCACTGACCACCACAGAACATACTGTTCTCCTGGTGTAAACATCTGCAATGAAACCCAGGATTCTGCATGTTCTTAATCCAAGAACAAACCTGGCTTCTGAAATATCACCTCCTGCACCCAATCCTGGAGTCGCATGGCAGATATGCACAAGGCAGGCCATGTGAAAACACAAAGAAAGTCTTTGTTTGAATTAAAAGAAAATTGCTTATGACATGGAGATTTTCACAAAATTTTGCTTGGAAGGGAGATGTGCAGTTTTAGATTAATTAATTGAAATGGGAATCCCACAGCCAGAGTCAGAATAAGCAAATGAAATGCCAGATCCCCAAAATCATATTTAAAAAAATAATTATTGTAGCTACTTTAGCCTGTTGGGAGTCCATGACATGACAGCAGGACTCATTCTGGATGAGCGAGAGACATTGAAGAATGTTGCTTGCACATGAATCAAAGAACTGTATCTGAAACTCACAGAAACACACTATACAGTAGGTTGCAGCACGAGTGGTTTCTTCTCAGGCCTCCATTATGAAAGGTCACTTTAGAAAATTGATCCATCCATTTTCGGACTGCTTCTTCAAATTCAGGGTTATGGGTTAGCCTGAAGCTACAGTATCCCTGCAAACAATGGGCTCAAGGCAGGGTACACCCTGGATAGGACACCAGTCAATAGCAGGGGAGACACACAGACACAAAAACCCACACCAGGGCCAATTGTCTCAGAAGCCAATTAACCTACTGTACCAGTATGTTTTTGGACTGTGGGAGGAATCCGGAGCACCCGGAGGAGACAAGAGCACAGGGAGGAGACCCTACAAACTCCATGCAGATAGAACCCCAGCAATTGAACACAGTCCCGGCGCTGCAAGGCAACACTGCCCTACCATACTTTAGACAATGGACCACTGAATTCTTGCTTTGGTTTTTAACATATTTTATCACTTTCATCAGATGATGACCTCTTTTTCAGTACTGGTGTAGTAGTAGGGCAGCAATGCTAACCATTGTGTCCCCATGTTGCCCTAGTATTACACCAATACTGAACATTAGGTGATTGTATGATGAAAGTGGTGTTGGAAATGTTTATATCTATTCTGAATGCTTATTCACTTGAAGGACTCACCTTATACTGTATACTGTAGTTTAAACAGTGCCTCTCTTTCAAAGGCATGGCAAAAAATATTGTTTTCTATTAACTAAGGTATGTTTCTGGAAAACATCATCTCCTTTTGACTGCTTCTAACAGTGCTAAAGAAAGGCCTTTGCCGGAAATCATACTTTTTAAAAATTACATAATGCAACAAAGCAGGCATAGCATACTGTACATTCAAAGTTTTATTTTTTTCTGTTTTAAACCATTAAACGAACAACATGCCCTCTTGTAACAGGATATGAAGAAGTGAGGTTTTATTTAATGTACAGTATGTACGTAACCAATTTCAAAGTTGACCAGACAGCAAAACCTACTAAATATAGCGTAGGAGTTACATGAACGTGGCATTACAAAGTATAACCTTCCTATTGTACTCTATTTTCTGCCTATGACCCAGAAGGACATACCGTTATTGTCTGTTTCCATTCCTTATCTGATATACCAGTGGTTCCAGAGAATGTAGAGGCAGAGTAGACTTATCTATTTCCATTCCTTATCTGATATACCACTGGTTCCACAGAACGCAGAGGCAGAGTACACATACAGCTACAAACACAATATAAACATGGAAAAGAAATCTGTCTAAAATGCAGGTGACCTCAGTCCAGTCCTGGCGCCCTTTCTCCTTCTTATGGTGCTTTTTCAGGCTGCTGCATATTGCTTCCACATCATTACAAATCTTGCAAAGAACTCTCATGGTGTCTTCTGAGTTTAACGTCTTTCTGTCGGGTTCTAAACAGGAGGTGTCTAGAACAATAAGCAACAAAATTGTGACAAGCTTACAAGGTACAAAAGTGTAAATTCCCTATACAACAGCATTAATGTTTTCAGACACTTGTTCATCTTCTTATCCACGTAAAGCTGCCTTCTTTAACAAACCAATATTTGTAGATGTTTGCCCACATCTGTGGAATTTGTGGGGAAAGTAAACAGGTGATTTTTGTTGATTAGATGAGCAAAAGGCAGGATGGCAGACTCAGGCTACCTCAACATTAAAGTGAGGTTTGCAGAGTAGGACATGAAGAAAACTTTCTCTCCGGTCAGTCTCTGCCAACAATTCACCTGTTAAAGGTGGGATCAGGTGTCCAGGTAGTCTAATTTATTTTGATCAAATGTCTTAATACTGAAAAAAATTGCTGGAGACACAAAAATCAATGATGAGAAATTCTATTTTAAAAGACCTGTTCTTTCTCTTCTAATGTTAGAATTACATTTTTATTTGTAAACCTTGATACACAGATGGCAAGGTGAAACCTGGGCATAAAATAATTCTTACAGAATAATTTTAATGCATCATACCATCTCTGGATTTATGTAGTTTTATGGTGAAGATCCTCTCTTCATTCTCATGCTGACAGGACCAGTCCACTTTGTAATTTATGAGTTTGGCCAGATAACACATGGCCAGTGTTCTGACCCAGGATGGAACCTTCATTTGGGTCTGATACTTTCCATGTAGAACGTAAACAACAAACATGCTTTCTAACAAGCTGAAAACCAGGAGTGCCTGCCAGACTAAAAAATACCCCCCTGCAAATTGAAACAGAAACAAAGTAACATCAGATTTTTTTATTTGATCCATGCCTGGAATCAACACACTCACATTCCAATAAACAGTTACAGTAAATGTAATGTTCTGTTTTATTTGCATGCATGTCCGAAAATCCACTTTGAACAGCTCCCCATGGAAAAGCAGTGAAATATTTATCTTGCACAAATCCTAGTTTCTATGCTTATAGCTGCTAGGGATGTGTAAGAGCACTGAGGGTCCAGAGGTGTTCCTTTAAAACTTTTTGAAGAAATATTTTTCTGTTCCCCCTAAAGTCTTTGCTCGCAAATCCAGCAGCTACTGAATTGACCAATTTAAAAAAACAAACAAGCACAGTTTTCCAAGGTGAACCAACATTTTGCCATCACACAATGACATCAAGAATATTTCATGACATCCTATTTGATTTGTTTTGATCATCCTTGAGAAAGATACAGGTAATGTCAAATGCTTCTGATTGGCACTGTTCTGGAGTTTTCACATGGCTCTGTTTAATAAGTGATTGAGTATGCAGGATACAATCAACACTTACCAATAAGGGGTGTCCCTCCTGAATTGTTTGGGAGAATGCTGTTCGTCATGAGCAGAAAAACATTGTATCCCAACAGGAGAGTCACTTTAAACAGTGGTCTGTTGACAGAGTGGAGTGGGAGATAGAAACTAAGGACATCCAGCAGCAACAGGAATGCACTGGGAATAAGGAGGTTGACCACATACCGTATCGGTTTCCTTCTGATTGTTACCTACAGTTTTTATAAGAAATAAATGTCTATTATTGTTTAGTGACACAAAATTCACAGTTTGTTCCTGTGTGTTGTCTGTCCACATGGTTTCCACAGACTCTATGTTGCTATTATATGGTACAGTAGTCTGATCTCAACAAAATTCTGTATGTAAGGAAAGATGGAGTTGATCAATACTGGGTAAATGAAAACATATTGGTGGAACGGGAGCTGGTACTCTTAACTGTGTACCAGAAACTCAAAACAAATGCCCAGGAATAGAGACAAAAGAGGGGAAGATAATAAACCAATAAGCTGTTCACACTGAAGGCAATAGAGCCTCTTGGTTACTTTTATCTTGCATATTAACCCATAATATAATGGTCAATTGTCTTACCTTTAAATTTCAGTTTACGTCTTTTGTTAGTCATCTATTAGGATATAACTTAAACATTAAGAACATCGCTGGAGTAACTTAACTCTTCCAATTCACAATGCATCAAAGAACCAAACACTAAAAGCACCTTCAGCTCCAATTATGAAATGCTTGGTTTGGGCCAGAATTACTCACAGTGAAGAAACACATAGGCCAGACAGCATTTTGATAGAAAAACAAGGATGATGTCCCATTGATGTCCAACAGTTCCCACTCTCCCCTGTCTTGAAGACTTTGAAGAGAATCTTTAAACATTTCTTCTGATGGAAGATGAAGCCCCATCACAATGTCAGACACTGTAGAAAAAAAATTAAATACATACAATACAATTACATATAGGACATTCATCCCAGCTTTTCAGTAAAGACACCATTTTACAGACAGCAAATACAGTACGCTCATACAGTACAATTAATTTTTTCCTCACACTTACAAGTTTGGGATGAAAGAGCAATAAACTGCTACCCTCAAGCAAAATAAGTGAGCCCTGTAATTGCAAAAACTGTGAGCCAAGTCTAATTTAATTTCCTGACATGGCCTGTGGGAGTCAATGTCAAGTCTTTCCTTCAGGTTTGTAACTAAATGTCAAACCAGCAGCAGGTTAAACTAGATTCTTCTGTTCCCTCAGTAAAGTGATACTTATTAGAGGAACCTGTGTGCTCCTCACCTCTCAGAACCCTACTTTTTTTGGCACGCAGGACTGCTAACACCAGCTGTAGGAGCAGAGCATCTCCCACTGATGACACTATGAGGTCGCAAGCACTCCTTCAAGCTCCGAGGAAGTGCTGTGTATCCTGAAGAAATGATTCAAGCCTGGCTGCCTGAGGATCATGTAACCTTGGTTACAAAGGGACATTTGTTCTCCTCTGCTTTGGGAATCCTTAGCATAGCTGGATTAAGGCAGAGTTTGAACCAGAAAAATCTCTGATCCATGTGCACACTGTGGATCACTTTTTTGGGGGATCTTGACTTTCTGTCTTTACTGAGGTTAGCTACCAGTTCCCCTTAGGTAGGCTTAGCAGAAGCAGTTAAAGAAGTCACTTTAATTCTCAAAGGCTCCATGCTCATCTTCTAAGCTCTTTTTCCAGCTCAGGGCTGAAGGGGAGCAGAAGCCTATCTGGACAAGCAACAGACACAAGACAGGAGCACCCTGGACAGGATGCCAGTCCATCGCAGAGCACTCAAACACAGATATGCACACACTAACAACAGGGTTAGTTTTTCCAGAAGCCAATTAACCTACCAGTATGTCTTTGCACTTTGGGAGGAAACCAGCACCCAGAGGAATCCCACACAAACATGGGGAAAACATACAAACTCCACACAGAGCACTCCAAGTTTGGAATTGAACCCAAGGCCCCCGCACTACAAAGCAGCAGTGCTAACCACAATGCCACAGTGGTAGGGACAGAGATACTCACATTTTTCTGACAGCTTCTGTTCTTTGAGTCTTTGTGTCACTTTCTGACATTTTTGGTGCCATAACCACATAAACGCTCTGCATATTTTATTTTAACATGACAGAATTGATGTAGTGCACAAGCATGGATATAGCTACTGGTCTCATGAACCCTGAACACTATTTCTGGGTACTGCAGGGCTTGAGCAAGTTGTACAGTACTTTGCAAGTTGAGAAAGAATTTAAAATATCTAGAGTTCATGGGGTGTATGAAATGAACAGAGTGCAATTCTAATAAACCAGTAGGTTTACAAAGCACTGCCTCTAAAACTGGAACATTGTTTACATAGAAAACATAAAGATATACATTAGTATATGATTCCCATTAAGCTAATTTCACTCAGTCACTGTTGATATGTCTAAAGTATAAAAGTATTTCACATATAAACTTGGTAAACAAGTTCTTCAGCCCAGTAGACAGCAAGTGATGGATGGTGGCAGTCCATCTCACCTGCGATTGTGTTCATTATCTACTGTATGGATCTGCCCTCCGCCGTTTGGGGTGGAGATAAGGAGGCAGTCAAGTCACCTTTAGGCAGTTCTTTTTAAACCTTTGACTCCCTGATTTGTGGGTGTTGGATGCTGTGTCAGTAAACCTTGTTTGTGCGTACGTGCGTACGTGCTCCAAGATAATGAAAAAAGAGATGTCTGAGTCGGTATGGGATTGGAGTCCACAAAGAGTTCATGGGCTACAAACTGTCTGCTCGAAGAGAAAATAAGGAAGGGACTGCAGCAGTCCTGCACTTTTTAACTGCAATCCAAGTTATTTCAAGTATTTAGTAATAAAACAGCAACATAGTGGAAACCTAGTTTGTCGTAGCTTTTTTATAGTTTTTTTTGCAGCATTCAGAAAGAATATCTACGCAATTAGACCAAGGCAGGTCACTGGTTGTGTTGCATGAATCAGAAGTGAGATATCCTTTACCCTCTAGAAATCATATTTATATATCATATTACCTCTGTATGTTGACAGAATCGACTGCTGTATACTTAGAAATAAGGATTATTTATTCAAAAAACTGAATATGTATTTATTCCAATATTTGATAATACATAAATTTCCTATTTTTCTAAAAGTAAATAACTAAGTTTAGGTTGCGTGGACCCCAGAATCAGAAAAGGTGTGATTTACACCCTTTATTATATATAGTATACAGTATTAATAGATTGTATTATAAATACAGATCCATGTGTGCAGTACCAGCCAAAGGCAAGAACAAGGTTAGAAAGCTATGTCTGTGCAATGGAATGGCCTGACCTTGACTTCAGTTGAAACCAAGGTCAAAATGCTCAAATGAAAACAGCCAAGGTACAATCACATTGTACTGAAACCCAGTCTTCATATAACAGGCCTGAAAATGTAGAATGTTTTTACATCTTTTTTATATAAGACTATTGAAATGGATGAAATAATCATCCCTTGTTTAATAGTGTCTTATAAAGTCTGACGTAATTTATTAATCTTATTTTGTCTCTATGCCTCCACTGGCCAAAATATTAGGACGCTTCCCTAAGCCAACCAATAACATGGGCTTCACTTAGCAGGAACAAGCCCATATTCCATAAGGTTTTGTTACATTTTCAGCCCAGTTCCATCCCATTCTTCCAGACTGTGATGAGGGTAGTGATGCATCGGATTAAATGGCACATTCCAGCACTTTTCAATAGGACTGTGATCTGTGGAGGTTTCAGACAAAGGAAGGGTATGTACAGTAGTTCAACCTTGTTCAAGCTCATGTACTGTTTGCCTCCTGCTAAGAGCCTATTCATATTTTTGGAGAGTTCTCCATGAAACAGAAATTAATTTTTACCTGTGTGTAGGTAGGGTCCAAATGTAAGGATACAGCTGTGTGTGTCAAAAGGAAAGTAGAAAATATCCAGGTTGCAAGAGGTCACGGCTCGGATTGGCTCATCCCAGATTACCATTCCATCATGGTTCAGATGCAGGTACGGAGAAGCAGGAGAGAGGTCCTCGCCCACACTAGTGATACATTGTTACTAGGCAGTGTTTACCATACAAGGACAAACATTTGTGAAATATGCATGAAGTTTCTAACATAAGTTTGGATCCTAATCTCACGCATTTCTGTTCTGTATATATTTCACTTCCTGAGCTTACCTTCACACATTCTCTATTACCCCATCCACCCCTGCAGCAGCTCCCTGGCTCATTCCTTCTGAAAGTGAAGAAGGTTCTGTCCAGTTCATCTAATACATTTCATCTCAATATCACATTTATTAGGATCTGACCATACTTCTGAATCCCATGAATACGAGACCCAATCTTAAGGTTTTGGGGTGTCATAGAGGCATACGGCAGGCATAGAAGGCGACTGCTGCTTCCTCACTGCTCTTTGATCTTGGGGTTCGATTCTGAACTTGATGCATTTATTTGGATCTAACCAAACTGATGTACAAATATAGAGACAGATTAGTCTAGTTAATGTAATTCAGTGAATCCTTGCACTGAAAACCTCCCTTTATATTATTTTAACTCCATTGCTCCAAGGTTGTCTTATAAACATGTGCCTAGTGACCCTGAAAACAATTCCCCCCCTGCCATCAGATGTTTTAAAACTGAGATAATGCTACAGATAGCCTTTTATTTTCAGTTTTATAGGCACATACATTTCCCTCCATCTATTTCCCAACTGCGTCTTCCAGTTTAGGGACACGGGGCGCTGGAGCCTATCCCAGCAAGCAACAGGCACAAGGCAGGGTATGCCAGTCCATTGCAGGGCGCACACAGACACAAATAAACACATACATATACCCTGGTAAATTTCCCCAGAACCCACTTAACCTACCAGTATGTTTTAGGACTGTGGGAGGAAACCAGAGCACCTGGAAGAAACCCAGGCGACCATGGGGAGAACATACAGACTCCAAGCAGATACAGTAGCACCCCAGAAACTGTACCCAGGGATCCAATCCTGTGAGGCAGCAATGCCAACCACTGTGCCACTGTGTCACCCACTTATGCATATATATAATATACATAACAAATAACAGATGAAGAGGACTGGTAGGGTGTGTATTTTTAGGGTGGAGGTTGGGGCAAAATTGTTACAGTTTTAAAGGAGTAATTGGGTCATCAATCTACTACACATTGGATGATTAAATTAGACAGATGGCTTGTTTAGTTCTAAAGTTTTTTACGTCCTTGGAATAGAAAACACTTACAATTCATAAATGTAAAAATCAGGGATCCAGATGAAGTCAGTGGGCACAGTAAGATGTTGCATGCCCTGAAGCTCTGCAGGCTCCCACATCAGGAATTCATTCACCCAAAGCTTAAGACCAATTAAAAGTTTATTGTAAGAAAAACAATATTCAAGTTACATACAGAGTAGTTAAAGTTAAGAATAAGAGTGGTTTTTCATTATCAAAGAAGGTACAGCATAATAACTGAACAAATGTTTTTCATCATCCTAAGTGAGTTCATGTTTTTTTAGAGTTCCTTCCCTCTTTTTTTAATTTTCTGTTCTTTCTATTCTGAGTGCTGTTATAATATAACTCTGTGCTTAAGTCTTATCAAATGTCTTATGCATATGTCTTATGCTGTCCATCAAAGGCAAACAAGAATATTGTTGGATAAAAATACATTTGAAAGAATTGTATGTTTTGATTAGACTTACCTGTTTTACCCAAAGAAAGGTTGTAAGGATATGTGCCTTCTCATTCTAAGGAAAGAAAATATTTTTATTATCAATTGTTAAAATGTTAATCTTTTCACAAGAATTCACTCCAAGCATTATTCTTTTTTTATGCTGCAAACTTGTCGTTCCAAAAACCTTACATTCCACCACAACATGCTACCTGATTTTATGCCTTATTTCAACCGTATTTCTTCCATATACAGTAGACACAGTACGTACCAATCCAAGTATCTCATGAATGCTTATTGAAATGTTGATTCGTGTTGGATAGGTTGAGTTGATTTTCGGTCTCATTCCAGGATTGTTGAGAATAAGCTGAAACTTCTCATAAAATTCCTCATAGACACTTTTAGTGTATACATCCTTTAAGTCTGTGGTATTCCCTGGTTAAATGCAAGAAAAAGTTTATGGCTTTCTTTCGATCCAAAATATTGCAGTAACATCCCCATCAGTTCCCTCACAAAACTTTATGTATGTTGACTAATTATCTTCTTACCTTTAGACACAGCTAAACATTTTAACATTTGCAGTATGAAACTACACAAAAATCCTAAAACTGTTACTGTCTGAAATGTTTAACGGAAATAGCATAGTCATTAGCTACATTAATTAATACAAAAGTCTTACTCTACGATTAAACTACCAGGCTGTGATTTTTTTTAATATGCCTGTATTATAAGCAGCAATCTACTTGTAGAGCCAAAATCCACAGAGAAAAAAATGGTGATTAGATAATGGATTGCCATATGGAACATGGACAATAATGAAAAAACAACTGTGCCTGGGGAATCATTATATAAAGCAAGCTAAATTCAAAAGACATTGTGCTTCAGAGAGTATATACAGTATATTATATACTGTATATGTCAATGTTGGATGCAGTAAATGCATCAGAGGAGGTTGAACTGAACTGTATAAAACAGGAAGATTTTGTGTTGTGCACAAGGTTCAAAGTATTAAAACAATTCTTATAGGGTGATTAAACAAAGGTCCTTCTTCAGCTGTGGAAAAACATACTGTATGTGCTTTGTCCATATTTTTCCAAAACGTGATTTTTAAACAAGTAAATCTTGTATACAACACATTCTTTTCAGTCTCATGAATATAAGCACAACAGTGCAATTTTCTGTCATTATAAATAATGTAAAGCAAAATATAAAAATATCAGATTTATTTTTTATGTATGTTCTTTATCATTTTAGATTTAGTTTGCACAGTTTCCACCTTACACTAGAAGCAATATCTATAAGACAAATTTCTATTACATATATTTGAAAAACAGCAGGAAAACTACAAAGAAATCTTAAATTACCCACAGCTTTGAAAAGAGCTGGTTATAACATATAACAAAAAAAATTATTGGAAGTATTGTTATTGCACATCATGTATATTATACAGTAGGTACTGAAACTGTCTAGAAACTTACCATAAACTGTGTTTTTAAAATACCAAAAATAATTGTTATCTATAGCATTTACAGTTGTGTTTTTCTTGAAGCAGATTCAGTAGATAGATTTAAAACCAAAATAAGCCTACCTTTCACCAGTAAAGCTATTAGGAAAGGGAAGATGAAAATGTTTTCAGTTGAAGGTATCATTTCCTTAGCCTTGTACAGTATGTTTTCTAAAGTTCACAGAAAACAGATCAGTGCTGTATTTGCAGTTTACTCCAGATACCTCAGTTTCTTTAAAAGACTTGGCAACCTTTTTTCAATATACGGTATCATACAGCATGTGTATTTCCATGGGCAATGGTATCCAGATGCTCACAGTGGAGTTCATTGGTTCAGATCTCATCTTGGTCACCCTGGCAGACTGAGAGCATGTGACTCCCCCTGGGATGGGACACTGGTCCATTACAGGGGTGACCCCCCTAGGAATGCTGGTCCCCATTGAGTCAGCTGGGACTGGAGCCACTGGGGTAAAGTGCCTCACTCAGAGATACAACAGCAGGGACTTGAACCCACAACCTGCCAGTTATGAATCCACAGGCTCACCCACTTCTCTGTTCTGGGTGTCCTTGTGAAGTTATCGTAGTTACAGACAGGCGTGTGCCACCTGCCGGCACAATGTTTTAATTTTTGTGGATATGAGGATCTCTGTGTGACAGTTTAAAATGAATCATTTATTTATTTCACAACGACTTTGCTGTTTTGTTTTTCATGGTTTTCAAGCCAATTTCATATTATTGAAGAATCATTGCCTGCCCTTCGATATTGTCTAGTTTAGAGGTGGGCAATCCATTCTAAACAGACCTTCATCCCAGCCCATCCTACATTAATTTAATTCACCATTAATTATTAATCCAGGTGCTAAAACAATTCCTTATATAATTAAGGATATGTTGTAACAAAAAACAAAAGTACCGAGTTGTCATCTTCTTAGAAGATTCATCACTAGATTTAAACATCAGGTTTTCCAATTCATATTAAAAGTGAAATGAAAAGTGGAAAAGAGAAATACTCAAAACGAGCAAAAAATGTTTTGTTGCTTGTGTGCTATACACTTGAAATTTCTCATTTTTTAAACACGGAAAAACACAATTGTGCGTCTCATTTCTTTTAGAATCAGCAGTGTTCGTATAATAAGTTAAAAAATTCAGTTTAAATCCACAAGAGGGCGATATTAAATCTAATTTAAATATTTGCAAGAGCAGAAAAGCAATAAGTACAAGATGTTGTAGATGCAGTCTTTACAATACATGTTTTTGCTGTGACAGTCAAAATATGAATCAAATGAATAAAATGTTTTATGTAATATTTACTGATTTCCTTATCCAATGTATCCAGATTGGCAAGTATTCTGCGCTTCCCAGCACAGAAACATGTCGGTTCCTAAAAAAAACTATGTATTTCTGTGTTTATACTGCTACACTGACTTTTTTTGAGAAGATCCCCAACAGGCAGGGGAAATATTTGCAAGTTTAATGAAAAAAAAGTTGAACATTAGAATAACAGCAACAGCTGCAGTAAGGAAGAATGCATCATCATACGATATAAAAAGATATATTCAATACGTTTTCATTTCTAATTATGCTGGAGATGATATCATCCTACATACACAGATATGAAAAGAGAAAGTAAGTGGCTAAAATTAAGGACAGTACTTTAAAACAAACCCAAAAATTAAGAAGGCACAGATATGTTCCTATTATGAAATGTTACAGGTCTTTTGTGCCTCTCCCCAAGCGACTAGTCTTTCTTCTCTCCTCTGTTGATCTTCAGCTTCTCTCACTACTGGCATAAAGCTGCACTCTCTTAAGCTCCAGTTCTTTTTTTTAGAGGCATTGTGGAATTTTCCTTCAAAGCTTCACTGTGGGCTTTCCACAAGATTTCTTTCAGTTTTGTTGTTTGTTTTCTTCGCTCGACTATAGTCCTGTGCCCACTGCGCAGTTGTTCTGTGCTGGGGGCCACACAACATCACAATCAGTTTCACGCTAAGACACAATTCCTTCAAGTCTGTTGTCTTCAATCAATCCGTCCAGTGCTCTGATCTCTGAATTCTGAAAACAGGAAGGCCTATTCAGCAGTTTCGAGCTGCAATTCCCACACAGAGATCCAAAGGCCTGGCTGCCTTTCTCCTGTTTCCAGTTTAAATACACTTCGGTTGTGTATTTGGGATTGATATTTTTGTTGTCTTCAATAGGATAAAAGAAGTATGGCCTTTATTTGCCAACACTAGCAAGGTGGGCCAGGAAATGAAATCAGTCCTACTGTGCAAATGTCTTTTCACTGCTCTCAGTAAACAGGGCAGTAAACAGGACTATACAGGTGAACACTGAACAATAATGAAATGGTGCTGGTAGTGGTGAGAAGAGATCAGTAGATGGCACTGCTCACTTTGCCTAATGAACTGTAAAACTAACCACTTAATGTTGAAGTGGGGGAGAAAGCACTGCAAATTTGAGCCTCTTTTGAGCTTGTAAAGTTGAACTTATTTGGAAACACCCAGTGGCTTTGTTTAAAACATATGTGGAATTTAAAAGTGATGCTTCAAAAGAATGCTTTATGCTTCCCTTTTTGCGGCCTTGTTTCCAAACTGACAACAGAGACTGAGTTTTCAGAAGTGCTTCGCTTACCTACTTGAACTGTACGATGTGATATTAACACAACTGAGTCGGTGAATGATAATTAAAGTGGACAGTTTCAGACAAAGGGTTGTGGGAGTCTGGGACACGCTGCCATGCCAAGCTGTCGAAGCCGGATTCCCTGGCTTGTTTAAAGAAGAGGCTGGATGAGATCCATGGATCAATTAGCTACTAACAACCAAATGAGTTAGATGGATTGAATGGCCTCCCCTCGTGTGTCTTCTGGTTCTTATGTATATTACTTGCTACTGTGACAAGGCTGCAAAGGGCAGGACATGGGCCCATGTAGTCGCAGGACCTTTCTCTGGTAGCCCAGGGCAGCAGTCCTAATGCAATGCTTTCCCAACCGGTGACAGCCCGCACGTACTCATCACCCACTCCACGTAGCTGTAAAGCTCTGAGTCAAACATGAAAACTGAAGCAAGAAGAGGATGATGAAATTTAGCTCTTTCTTGCATCATCCCAGACGATCAGTGATCACGTACTATCATCTTTATCATCCCTGGTACAGACTCTTCTATTTACAAGAATATATAACTGTGAACAAAAATTATTCTGATCCTGTCTTTTTATATATTTTTGGTGTTAATGTGTACTCAGTGACAATTAAACAATAAAACAGATTTAGCTGACTCCACTTTTTTAACATTTGTAGGTGGAGTGGCTATAAATATTTCAAATATATTACACGGCAAATGAGGTCTGTTATTCCTCGTACTTTTACAGTACTTTGGTAATCGTTCCACAAAATCTCAAAAGCTTGCAAAATACTAATGCGGGGCATGTTAGATCAAAGTTCAGATGTTTAGGAATTGATGGATGTCAAACGCAAATTTCACATTTAACTTCATGACGTCAGTTTCATTCTCACCTCTCCTGCTCTGCAGGGTGAGTGAAGCAAACTAATTTAAATCACATCTCTGCTAATTAGGTTTAGCCACACTACAGAAATCTGCATTTTTAAACATCATGGTATCCTAGCTTCTGTTTTATACCCAGTGAAATGTAATATTTGTATTAATTTGATTGACGTTTAATCAAAAGCAACATGTACTTTGCCCACTCATACAGCTGAGTATATTGCTTAATTTGTGTGTGAAGTATTTTGCTCAAGGGCACAATAGTATTATCCACAACCTATGATCCAGAGCCTTAATGACTCCTACACACTAAGTGTCTAAGTGGGCTTCACTCTCCCACTCAATAATCTGACTTACTCTGACACTGCCGGTGTCAATCTTCAGACAGCCAGAGCACAGATCCACT